AGCACAAGGGGGGGGGGGGGGGGGGCAGATTGGAGGGGGTAATTCCATTTTCCCAAATTCACCGGGGAAAGTGGAACTACCCCTTAAAGTGTATGAAAAGCTACAACTTTTGTTTTTACTTGCTTTGGTTTTATTTGCTGTCTGTGTCCCTACTGGGAAGATTCCTGATGATTGTGTTTGGTAAAGAAAGTTACTGTATGAAAAAGCCCTCTTAGGCAGTTGTCACCACAAAAAGGGGCACCTGTTGTGGTAACAACTTCCTAAGAGGTGATTTCCCTTTGCTTTGGAGAAATTTCCTCTTACTTCATGTTAATTCTCTGGGACAAAAGTGAAGGGAAATTTTGAAGTGGATATAGACAGCAAACAAACACAAAATCCCCAAAAGAACCCTGAGGTCTTAACCCTTCCTTGCTGTATCCAAAACTTAATTATACCTAAAAAAACAGTGTAGGCTATAAAAGCCTGAAACGTATACACATGTTGACATCTTTGTCATGCATATAACTAGAACAAAAAGAACATCATACTAATACATTTGGCTGCCCAGTAAGCATTGTCCAACATACTTTCACAATGATGAATGACTTGCTCCCACAGCTTATTTTTCCTCAAGCAGGCCAAGTTCCCGACTATCAACAAATGTCTCTTTCCCCTTGTCAGGGCCACGTTCATCCTCTTTTCAGAGTCTATGAATCCAACCTGCCTTGTTCGCACACAAGACAAGATGATTATTTCCTTTTCTGCTCCTTGGAAGGCATCAACTGTAGATACCTGGATTGCCTTCATCTCCACTGGGTCACAGCAAGACATGCTGCTAAGCAAACTGCAAATCTGTATATACAAATTGGAGTTTTATTGTTATATAGTTACATGGCTAAATATGTAAAAATGCTGATACACTGCAACATTAGTAATGTGATTGATGTTTAAGCCTAATGTCAAACAGCTAAACAAACCAAGGAAATTCATATATGGAAACTGATTTACCTGCTAATGAATTTAGTCTTGAGATTTAACACAGCCCTACCACACAGCACAGCAAGCCTTGTAACCTGACTGTTCTCTACTACACATAACCAACTATGTCGCTTTTCTGTCGTACTCTGTAACTAAGCAATGAAGGAACAGCAAGAGACTGATGAGGTTGTTTCTCTGCTCTCTTCTTCCATCAGCATATGAGAATGCAGGACACCTGACCAGCCCCTATGGCTGCCCCCCTCCTTCTCCCACTCTAAGGGCTGCTGCTAAGATGATTACAAAAGGCTAAAATCAACTCAAATTTAAAAGGAGAACTATGAGGTAAGTGAAAATCACTCAGCCTCATAGTTCGAGCCGATGTGTGACAATTAAACTGTCACACGTTGGCGCAATAGATCGGGAAGTGAGCGAACACATACCGTCGCTCGCTCACTTCTCGATCATCTCCCTGCAGTGAGCAGTGACTGTCATTCACAGCTCCCTGCAGGGATTCTCCCCCTCCCCGTTCCAATCCTCCAGCGCGGACTGGCGGAACGGACGGGGGAGGGGTCAGGTACAGCTGGCTCTGCCTCTAGATAGGCAGAGCCCACTGTCACTCACGCAGCTGGGTGGATCTCAACAGTAAATGTCGGGATCCGTCCCGGCTGTGCCTGTCTCAGTATACCGTAAGCTGTAGCTCACGATATACTGAGCTTTGGGTCACGGGAGGAGGTTAGTATATGTCCTCCCGTGACCCTTAAGAGAACTATGGGGAAAAACACTTACCCCATAGTTCTCTTTTAAGTACTTATACTGGTTGCATTTAAAATATTTAAGACTGCATTTATTCCATTTACATTATTAAGTGCAAGTAAGGTGAAAACATTCATTTAGTAAGCTTGAGAAGACATAATTCAAAAAACTATTACTTTCATGAATTCTATTACATCCAAAGAAGGGAAGAAAAAACTCTAAACATTAAATGTAGTCTAATTTTCTGAAACAAGGAAAATGTAAATGTAAGTAGCCCTTTGTTGGGTCTTTATTACACTCTCGGAATGAAAATTTGCAAACACAATGCAGCAGCTCAGAAAAATGAAATGTCTGCATTTTCCTATCTCATGTTTAGTTTACTAATTTGTAGTGAGATTGTAGTCCATCATGGGAGTGAGCTTGGAGTGGTGACTACTTTACAACACACAAAGGGACCATGGAGAACACAAGTAGCCACCCTCCAGAAGAAAGGACAGTGTCAACATGCATTTAGAGATGATTTGAGGATCTACAGCTGAGTGATACACACATAAATTATTATTGTATTAATAGTTGAGGTACTTGAATGCATTTTTAAGATTTAACTCCTGAGTTTAGTGTCACTTTAAGCAAAGCACCAAACGATGTTTCAAGCAATCTACTGTATCTGCTAGTTACAGTTCCTGTGGAGAACTATTTACTAATACAAGACACATATTACCAATACAATTAATACAAAAGTGGACTGAAATAGGTATTGTATTTAGGCATTCATATTTGACTTCATTTTATAAAGTACATTACATATGTGAGAAACAAACCTTAGTCATCTGGGACTTGTAGAGAGTAATTACTCCAATCATTGAGCTCTGTATTCCACTAGCTATCAGAGACTGGATGAGCTTCACAGTAAAGTTGGCTTCCTGCATATTATGGAAACTGTTGTTCCCTTCCACCTAAACACGTTAGGAAGAATATATGTTTAGGAATACAATCAATTTATTAGTGTAAGTCAAGTCACATTCTCCTGCACAGTAAAAAATATATCTTGGATATAATTTCTAACATAGGTTCCAACAGCCAACAAAAAAGTCCTGTACACATACCTGCTCTGTTCCATTAGCATTATAAAAACATAAGGTGGGCAGCCAGTCTAAAAGGGGTTTACGGTCTTCTTGTGACACTCCATTTAAAAGATGTCCATCATAAAACAGTTCATTAGCTATAGCACTGATAACAGGGTGACAACGATACTGAGTCCTTAGCATAATCGCCTGGTGGCCCTGAAAATGCAAGCCATATAAAAATTAGGTCATACATCCAAAACCCTAACTTAGAGTGTTTCAGTCAGAGCTAGTGCTGAGGGAGGGGGAGATGGTGCTGGGCTACTTACTGGCATCAGCCTAGGTAAAGTTTTCCTGTTTTGGTAGAAGGAATGGTTATAATATAAACACATAATAAATCCACTATGCATTTCTGAATGTTTCAAGCAGAGGCTGCACAGTTATCGTTTCTAAATTTGTAAATGTCTGGCTATAGTCATCAGTTTGCACCCCTGTCCCTGACTGGAACCTGTAAGGCCGCTATAGATGGCAACATTATTTAGACGTTTGAACTATACTGTTGTATAAAAAGGTTTCTCATGTTTACTGTCATTTAGTTTGTTATGTTTCTATTTTGTAGCATTAACATAAAAAAAAAAAAAAAAACACATGCTAAAAATGTTTGAAAGATAAGTACATTTTAAAATAAAGTGTACTTTTCCTTTCTTC